TCTCAAACCACCACGGTGTGATTTGACGTTCACAGATGCGACATAGGACCGGCGTCGGGGCAGGGTGTTTGGAAGGGTCGGGTTCGTTCGCGGCCGCCTCGGCTAGGATGGTCAAGTAGTTCGCTAGCACCTCAGCACCGACACCCAAGGACTCCACCAGCAGCGGTGGCAGATCGATGGTCACTTCTCGCGGTTCGGTAAACGGCCGTAGCATCCACATGGTCTATATCAAAGGCAGAGTCAGCGATGTTTCCCGCACAGGTATTATCAGACATACATGGCCAGTTTGGTCGTCCGTCCGATCATACACCATGATTCCTTGTCCCTCCATGGTGAGCAGATTGTGCTTAGGCTCTTCCTCTTCCGTCTTGGGAGCGCTTGCGCTCTCCAATGGTTCTTCCTTGTCGTTTCCATGGTCGGTATCCAAAGATTGCGATTCCGGGGAGTCCTTCAGCACCGAGTCAGGGCCCATCTGTACCGCGAAGCGAATGAACCGGCTCCGCGAGTCGTCCACCTTCATGGCCTCGATGGCATCGCCAAATACGTCCTTGTTCCCGACCAGAATATCCGCCATCATCTGGCCCTCGACCGAGTCGGGGGACGATCCCACCACCTGTTTCCATGACGGGCTGACCCATTTGATGCGGCCGTCCAGGTCCAGATTCACGATGACGTTCAACGTCTGCTCGGCCGCCTCCTTCAAGTCTTCTCGTTCCTCTCGCATATCCTCGTTGAAGCTCAGCTTCGGATTGATATTCCGGGACTCCTGTCGCAACGCCGTGACGGCGGGGGAGCCAGGAATTGAGGGTTGGGGGAGCCATTGCCCGCCATGTTGACGCGCCGGGCGGACCAAGCGGGTTTCCGAATCCACCAAGAAGCAAAAACGAAGGCACAGTCTGTGCGTGTATTGAAACCGAGTCCGAACTGCTATCGCAGAGCCCAGCAGAACCTCTGCCAGGCAGAGCGGGCGCCCTTGAGGGAGGTTATCGATTCATTCGGCTCATCAGCAGGCCATGGCGTGAGATGTCGGGGCAAAGCAACAAGGGCAGCGAGTCTTCCTGCACAGTGATTGCCAGTGGCGGATCCCACTGGTGTTTCTTTTTGGGGGTGTTGGTCAAATCGATACCGGCACGGACAGCGGCGTGGAAGGGCAGCGGGAAAGCGTGTTTAAGCGGAGACGATCGCGACAACGGCGCGTAGAACCATGGACAACGGTCCAGCCCAGAGGAGGCGGGCAACAAAAAAGGAAGTACCAGTGGTCGAGCCGAGGTGAAGTAGAGGGAAAGCAGACTGAGGGTGAAGAAAGAAGCAACAGATGGAGGAGGGAGAGGATGGAAGTGTTCGGGGGTGGGACGGGTGTCTGATTGGGCGAGGCGAGACAGGGCGGTCGCTCACTGACGGAGCGTCCTTACTTCGAACCTACAATAATCATAATTACATATCACACATTCCAGGGTCATTTGCAGTCATGTCATGTCTTTTCCGGGGGGACGCTATCCATTTGCCATTTCCATGTGTGCCTCCCATCCACACTCTCGTCTCCCGACCCCGTTCAAAAGTACCTCCTGTCTGGGGTACCTACAACTATGTACTGGTCTCATCGAATCCCTGTCTGTCTTGGCCGTTCTGCCCCTTCATGCCGGCCCATTAGGATGTCATTCCGCCCATCGCCGCCCTGAGTGGACGCCACGGAGAGTCGTCCCCCTCCAACCCGCGTCACTGCCGATCGAGACGGCTCCCGTTTCAACCGTGACTAACGTTCCGAATCACCTGATGGTCCTGTTCTGGTTCGTGCCCGCTTCCGGGGCTGATCATCGCAGTACCCCGGATCGGTTTCCGCAGGACGGCCCAATTGGCAGGACATGGGTGAAAGTGCATGCGACCCTTGGCGAGGACATGCTGAAGCTAGATTACGTACAATCTGCAGGACTCTGCAGGACGTTGTGCCGATAGTTCTCATCGCTCATCTCTATTACGTAGCACTCGAATGACGACCCGATAAGCAGAGCTCCGACGGAGGTCCTTGGATATACCCCGCAATATAGTTCTGAGATATATAATCACGGCGTCATATCCTCGATCACCAGACATGGCCTCCTCCAAGGTTTGCAATTAACTCCGACCAATTATTGGTCGAACCTTTCTTCCTCTTCATTCCACGAGAATTCAATTCAATGAAATATTCAGTCCAGGTAGTAGTCACGTGTGGCTGATCTCTTGCCTCAGGCAGCTGGTAATTCAGGCACCAAGGTGTCAATCCCCTGGTAACTATCTGCTTTGTAATGGCAACTCCAACAACCTCAATATCCATAAACCATGAGCAGTCGGCGGGAACATTGCATGTTCCTTCAAAATTAGACTAGACATGGCCCCCACAGCTCCAGCGGAGGACCCCAGCGCTCGGCGCAAGCGGACCGGAAGAAAGTATACCTCGCGAGCCTGCGAGGAATGTCGCCGTCGCCGAGCCAAGGTGATTAGATCGATCCCCCTCACGCATCTCAAATAATCTGTAGCTGAAAAGACGGCAATACAGTGTGATGGCACCAGACCATCCTGCACCCGCTGCCTCGACCGCGGTGTCCGCTGCCTATATTCCACCGCCGAGGACGGGCGCCAGCCAGCTCCCAAGTCCTATGTGGTGATGCTGCGGCACCGGATCGAGATGCTGGAGCGGGTGTTAGAATCTCACGGCATTGATCCGGATACATCTGTTGCGCAGATGATGGCCGAAATGGATGTTCCTGATCAATGCGTTGATCCCAGTGGTTGTTCGAAGCTGGATGATCTGTGCGGCACGTTTGATGGCGCGTTGACGCTGGATGAGTCCTTGAATTTTGATCAGGATGGCGAAGTGCGGTATTTTGGCCCAACAAGCGGGCGGTTGTTGTTCTTGTCGGGTAAGTGGGTGGGCTCGCACTTTTTGCCGTATTATGGCCTGCTGAGAACGACAACTCTAGATCCTGAGAAAGAAAAGGTCGAGCAAACAGACGCTTCCGGCGCGGCATATCCCGAGTCAATTGGCTGCAGACATTTTCTCAATATCGATCACGATATCGATTCCATACCGGACGAACTCCAATCCCACTTGCTCGACCTATTCTTCGAGTGGGAACAGCCGTGGTACCCGGTGATCAACGAGAAACTTTTCCGGGAGAGTCTAGCCTGCGGTGGCCGATACTGCAGTCCGCTCTTACTGAATTGCCTCCTGGCATTGGGCTCACGCTATTCAGACCGTCTGGAAGTGCGAACAGACCCCAATGACTCCAATACGGCCGGCAAGATGTTCATCGAGAAAGCCGAGCGATTGATTCAGCATGATCTCAAATGGCCCAGTATTACCACTATCCAGTCACTTACCATCATGAACATGATGTACGTGGTAAGTGACCTCTGGCGAACACGTGGATGGCGCCGGCACGCTAATTCTGGACCAGGCAATGGGATCTGATGCGGCGGGATGGCTGCATCAGGGGATGGCGATTCGCCTAGCGTTGGATATGGGGTTCAACATGGACCCCGCTGTTCTTGCGGGAACGGTCTCTCTTCCTCCGATTGAGATCGAGCTTCGAAGACAGATTTACTGGGCCTTGTACTGCCATGATAAATTGGCAGCTAGCTACACGGGCCGCGTGTGCACTTTACTGGTAGGTCGGAGTGGCAGCGGTACTTCATCACTTGCCTGATAATGCTACATCCAGGACTCCCAGGGCGTGGTCAACAAGCCGTCCCTTGAATGCGCAGGACACATCCATCTCCCCTCCTCAATCAATGGCAAATCCCGAGCCGCCTCGCCGAGAGACGTGACGCAACTGCAGCGCGCGATGATCGATCTGTGTCATATCCTGGAAAGAATACTACTCTCACTGTACGCAAGATCTTGGTCTTGATTCACAGAGAATTCTTAATTATATGCTAACTCTACATACTCTCCAGATGGTCCCCCAAGCCCCTCCTCCACCCGCACCAACGCGCCGCATTCTTCGAGTCGTGCATCCTCGACCTGAAAACATGGCACTATGACCTCGCCCCGGAACTAAAGATCGATCGTCCTTCCGGACAATCTCAGTTCCCACACGCTTATACGCTCTGCATGGTATACCACACTGTATACATCCTCCTCTGCGGACCCTTCCTATCCAAACAACCCCACGTCACAGAAAAGAACCAGAATCCCTCCTCTCTTCCCACCCTCAAAGAGCAAACCCCCGAGAACATCATCGCTTGCAAAGCAAGCACAGTCAGCCTTTCCTCAGCGCGGGCTATGTGCCTCACTGCGCAGAAATACCGCCAGGCCTTCGGCAGCTTCAAACTCAGTCCCATCACGCCCACCCACTCCATTCTCTCCGCAGCGTTGATTATAATCGATAGTGGATGCTCTGCAAGCCAGACTCTACCGGGAACTGGCACAGAAGACAATTCTCCCTTCTGTTCTTCCTCGGGTCCGTCGCGCACTACTGCGCTCGCGCTTTGTTTGCAGGTTCTACGGGAGTTGTCGACGTCTTGGAATATTGCAAAGCGGATTGGGAGGAACTTGGAGAAGTTGTACTGTCAGAAACTGAGCTGTGCTGAGCAGCCAGGCTTAGCTGCGCCGACAGAAGGACACGGCGCCGGCTCTCGGGGTCATGGACAGGCTGCCGGCGCGGGTCTTTCTCACAACTCTGACCCTCCAACGGTAGATCCCTCTATGGATCTGGGAAGTATGTCGACACAACCTGCATCTCTCCTATCAAATGATCCCTATATCGACTCGTTCACTATTCCAGCCTACGAGGGAGTGCCGGCCGGAAACAATGATTATAACACTGAGGTGCCTAACTCTGGCGATCTTTTCGCCCACAACCTCGGCTTTGCCTTCTCGCCAGACTGTCTCCCGAGCGATTACAACATATTCGACACCCTGAACCAAATGTATCTAGAAGAGATGTGGTGACTGAATAATATAATGATATCTGACTCTTCCTCCGGCTTGCATTTGTGTATACCATCAAATCGAGAAAGTATCAAGATGCTGCAATCTCGGCAGCGATCTTCTCGGCCAGCATATCTAAGGGAGTATCAGTACTTTGCAAATATGACTGGACCGAAAGAGAAACTTACAAACTGTGGATTGAGGATGGCCGGGCGGTAAAATAGGAAATGCACTCGCATCGACGACACGCAGACCCTCAACCCCAAATACGCGCGCGTGATTGTCGACAACAGCCATACTGTCGTTCACAAGTCCCATTTTGCAGGTACATGCAGCGTGATAGATGGTCATGACTGTATTCCTGATACTTTCGAGTATCTCCGCATCTGTTTGGACGCTGGCCCCAGGGAAGTACTCAAGACCAATGATGACGGGTGCCATTGCCTTGCTTTGGAATGCGGCGCGGATGCGTTTGTAGGCCGCAACTGCGACTTTCTGGTCTGTGTCTGTGGCCAGCCAGTTGGGATTGATCACTGGTAGATCTGCCGTGTCGGCGGAGCAAATGGTCACATTCCCGCGCGATGTTGGGGATACCATGCTCGCTATGATGGTGGCATACTCGTACCCATCGTGAGGTTGTTGTGCAAATGGATCCGACAAGTTTCCAACAAATGCAGATCCTGCCAGGTACTGTTCGGTCTTCATCAGTTCATGCAATTAGTTAGTTGGAAAGATCGAGATCCACCGGACTCACCTCGATCTCTGGCCAATCTGCAGGGAACCAGGCCAGTTCATGCTCATTTGCAGCGGAAAATCCTGTTCGAGACGATAGGGGCAGCTTCTCGAAACCAAGATAGTCTGTCGACGGGTTGGTCAGAACTCCCGTTCTGAGTGTGGTCCACGTTGTGATTTGGTAGCTATAGTACCATGGACTGGCAGCGAGCTTGGTGAAAGTGTCCACGGCCACCCGAAAAGAAGGCCCGAACATGGTATGGTCCCACATATTCTGACCAACTCCAGGCAGGTCCGCGATGACATTGATGCCATGGGCTTGGAGAGTGGCGGCTGGCCCGATGCCCGACACCATCAACAGCTGCGGTGATTGAAAGGCGCCGGCGGACACGATCACTTCCTTGGTTGCAGTCAATGTAAACCGGCCATTTTGCTCAACTTCAACTCCAACCGCTCTTTTCTGTGCGTTGAATAGGATCTTCTTAGTCAAGGTGGTTTGGTAAACCGACAATGTGGTATAGCCCAGTGACCCCCGTAGAAACCCCGACTCTGAGCTGCTTCTGGTCTGATCCGACTGTCGAATGGTCATGGCACAAAACTGGCGGCCCATCAACCTGCCGCCGTTGAAGTCCTGCGTCTCATTGATCCCAATCGCTTGCAAGCCTCCAGATACCCAGGTAGAAAAGGGCATGGCATACCGGGGGTATGACACTTCAACGGGCTGCCCGGTCTTATCGTAGGACGAGCGGTTGTAGGGCACTGTGGCATTGCCGAACCGGTACCCATCGGGGGGTGTGAAAGCGATTGTCTTCTTGTAGAAGGGGAACACGTTCTCAAAGAGGTAGCTGGGATCATCAACAAGCTCGGCCCATCTGGTCATTGAATCCCTGGATGGTCTGGTCTGTGTTAGCCCGATGTAGGACCTGCAAGTGGATATTCGTACCGTTGATAGATCATGAAGTTAACAGCTGACCTAGCGAGTGCAAGTCAGTACGTTCAGACGTCTGGGAATAAGGAGAATTTGCCATACGATCCACCAACACACTTCCCTCTGGGATAATGGATATCACGATCATTGGCACCTGGAACGCGATTCGCCACAAATGCCCAGTCGATTGACGTCGCGGTCCGGACGTCTGCACCCGCCCCGAGACTGGCTGCGCCTGGAATTGAAGTGATTGGACGCACCACCTCGTAGTATCCTCCTGCCTCGACCACGGCCACCTGGAAGCCTTGCTGCGCTAGACGTGAACCGATTGTCATCCCGGCAGTGCCTCCACCAATCACCACATAGTCATATGGTGTGTTTTCGGCCACAGGTTGATCAAAAGGCGCACAATCTGCGAAGCATGATTGGGAGGCCACTATAAATAGTGCCGAAAACAACAGGATGATCGAGAGCAACATCAAGTCACAAAGATGTGGAATGTGGAAGCGAAAGGGTTTCCCAAAGTTGTGTGAAGGAACAAAGCCATCTGGCTCCAGACTACGGAAGATCAGTCGCGCCTTCCTTTGTAGGTAGATGCGATGCGTCACTGTTTTAGATTCTACGAAGACACGAAAATATGTCGATTGGCGTGATAATTTATGCCTAGAGGATCGATGGTGTGGGAGATGTACATTCTCCAACCCAGACATCTGTGGTATATGATATCAACACCAGGCATAATTTACACAAAGACCTGAAACTGACTTCACTCGATATTTACATCTGAATGCAAACTGTTGATTACGATCAAGTAGGAAATACACTCTATATAGCTTATCGCAGGCTACCTGCCGCCTGCAATGAAAATATTAGGGCAAGGATCAATCAGGGCACCACTTAGGTTAACTTTTTTTGGAATTTGTGACCATTGCTGCCATTGCGGGACTCTCCAGTCATTCACTGCCGGGTTTTTTGTGCCCTGTACTATAAAAATGCATTCAAATGCTTTCTCTCTACTCTTTCTCCCAGTCTTATCTTCCTACTTCAGACACCACCGTACCACCTCACACCCTTTGCCCTATCCAAAAGTGATATCAGTATTCACTGAGATCCACGCTTATCAATCTGGAATGGCGAGAACCACTTCGTTCTTTTCGAAACACCCCAACATCGGTACTGACCCTACGATGAAGACGACGAGAGACTTCAACCGTCTCGCCCGCCAGCGAGGCTGGGATCCTGATTCCACAGTGTGGAAACTCCATTGGAATGACTTCATCAGCGCAAAGCTTGACGGTCTCTTCGGTGGGCGTGATAAGGACCTGAAAACTTGGCAGGAGGTCTGCGGCAAGTTGGGCCTGCGGGGGGATTTTTCGTCGTTCAACAAGTGTAAGAAGGTAAGCGAAGACCTACACAGGCCTGGTAGTGAGTCTGAATCAAGAATAGATTTGCTGAAATTGAATTCATCAGGCTCTGGCTCGGGTGAACGCGAATATTGTTGATCTCCTAGAGTGCTGGGCCACTGGAAAACGTCCTCGCATGTTCAGATCCCGCGAGGAGCTGGAGCACTACACCAAAGTTCATCGGAAGTTCTTCCCCCGCAGCCATGCCAAACAAAGCCGTATTCTACGTATCTTTCTGAAGAACATGGCTTAACACAGGGCTCAAATGCAAAGCTTGGAGTAATTGAGACGGACTGAAGAATACTCTTAACTACGGAACCAATCCAATCTTGATTCTGGACCCAAATATCTACTTCCCATTCATCTCTCTGGATCTCTTCATTAAATTTTGAATAGTCAGGTTCACGGCTTGACTACTTTGACACGAAGAACCCTCAGCTTCATGCTACAGAAGCTTGCGCTTTCGCCCATTTCGATAATCCACAAGCGCCTCGGACACATCCAACCTGCTTCAGCCACACAGGAAGACTTGGCTCAAACATTTACTGAGACCCATCGACAGCCTTAAAGCCCACTATTTGACCGAGATTACCATGGACTGATTCACGACAAAGCTATTTTGGATACTCTGGAATGGATGACGATGGTGTAGTAAATATATACTCTCTCTCCCCCCCCCCTCTCTCTGTGTGTGTGTGTGGAGAAAATCAATGATTTGAACTCTTGAACTTCACGCATCCTAAACAGCTGTAGGAACACATTGGGAGTAATATGGATTCAAGGAAGAGCAGGTCGCCTGCACATTGCAAGCCGTGAATCCAGACCAACCCGATCCCCCGCATTGACCATATACAGTTTGGGTAGAACTACCTTGAGTAGTAGTACTGGTACGGGTACTGGTGGTGGTGGTGGTGGTAGTGGTGGTAGTAGTCTTGCCGCCTGTGGTTGTCGTCAAGGTTGTTGGCCGGGTTGTTGTAGTTGAGGTTTTACTGGATATAGTAGTAGTCGGAGCGACTCCGCCGGTCCCAGTCACCGGAGTTCCAGATGCAGTAATACTCGATGAGGACTGTGAAACAGACACAGCCCCACTGTAAAGGGTTGGTCCTGGGACAATATAGGTGGACAGAGACGTGAATATGTTGACGAGGATACCAGGATCCGTTTCACTATAAAGCGCAGTACCCAGCACACCCGAAGGCTGGTCAGTTCCCGAGCCGGTGATTTGGAGATTGATGCATTGAGGATAGTTCTGTGCGCCGTCCGCTGTTCCCGCGCTATGGAGGGCGATCAACTCGTTGCGCAGCACATAGTACCCGGGTGCGATTGTAGGGGGGATCTCGACAAGCCAGCTGTTATTGTTCGCGATCAGTTGATCGTTTCCCCACGTACCGGGAACCACACTGTCATCAACTAGACCAACGGCGTCAATCTTGAAAAATTCCAATTTAGTCTTGTCAACTGTCTCGCAGCTATCGCCGCAATTGGCCAGGTAGGTGATGACAGGTCCATGATGAGTGTCTGGCCATGTAGTCCATTGCAAGTTGACCTTATCGCCAGCAGCGACCACCGCGTGCCCCTTGGCGTTGGTTGCATTGAGATGGCAGATAATATCCGAGGTGCCGTATTGATCAGGCATAATGAACCCATTAGAGGTATTTGGGGTTTCCCAGGCGATGACGACCGGTGGATCTGTCTCGTAGGGATCCACGCTGATATCCCATCCGTCGTAGGAGACGCCATTGATGACGACGTTGCTAATGTGGCCGTGACCGGCAACTAAAGCGGCCAACAACAGAAGTTCGACACCGCGAGGCATGCTGGAACGCGAAATGTAATAGAGAATGTAGATACAATGCTTCAGAGTGTTCGATGTGTGCGAGACAAATGACAACCAGCCAGAGTTGGATCTTAGCTTTACTGATCTTCTTTAGGCACAAGCGGCGAGGAAGGCAACTTTATAGGCAGTTGAAACGCCGCTTCTTCTTAACCCTGCAACGTAGTCGGATGATACTTGTCATCCTATTAGTGGGTTATGTATCGATATAGTCAAGACCCCCGTCCATTGGAAGGCCAAGAACTCAACGAACAGGGTAAGGTAACAGAGTCCAGGATAATTTGACAAATTGGATGAATTGCATCTTTATATCAAGTTTCATACCAGCCACCTAGCCATGCGTTTGGTTAAGTTGGTGACATCGGCGAGCATACCCCGTGTCAAGATAGGTGAAGTGGACAGATTGGTTCTGAGTGAAGCAATAGTATATTGTGAAGATTTGAGGGGTACACGGGAGTTTGATCCGGTACTAATTTGGAAATGACGCCTTGCAGTATCTTCAGGTAGCGGCTGGACGGATTAATTTTCGCCAAGCGCCCTTGGCATACAGGTTGAAACATCAGTTGTGCCAACCCCGGATAATCTGACGGCGGAGTTGATTGAACGGAGCCTTACAGTGTACGCCTGTCACGACAGTGTAATATCAACAACGATACATAAATCAGGGCAATTTCCAACGGTTCGGTCGTATATGGGCTGCTTCTCTTGTTGTTGGGTATAGTCATAGGCCATCGCCAGAACCCCTTCGTTGACAGGAAAATAGAAGCAATATATAGGGCAAAAGCCTACAGGGAGGCGATCCTAGCGTATTACATTTTATCCGGTTAGGCTACTGAAGTAGGTGATTATAGAGGAGAATTTTTGTAAATTATATGATGAGGGGGGATCCGTAAATACACCTATAGCGAAATGCACTATATCCATGGATTGAAATATAGTCCCTAGTGGCTTTTCTGCCATTAGACCGTGACTCGGCGAGCCTTGAGATATTCGTAATCCGGCATAGAGTCCCGAACAGCCTTCTCAATAATCTGGGAAGCCTCCTCTCCAAACTCAGCCTTCCACTTTTCGGCTTCAGCCGCGATATCAACGTTCGCAGGCGTTTTGTCCTTGACAACACCCTTCGATGCATGCAGCGTAGAGAGCATGATGGACTGAGCGACACGATCCCGTTCACTCATTTTGGCGAGCGCGGCTTCGGCATTCTTGTCATTCCACTCGTACTGCACTTCACTCGGGTCCAGGCCCACGCGCTCACAGAATTTTTGCACGGCCTCTGGGTTGTGGATGACGTCGTAGGCGTCCAGCACCAGTGGCTGGGTTGGCACATCCGGCTGCTCCAAGCACCATTCATATAGCATCCGTGTCCAGCGCAGCGTCAAGCTGCTTGCAGTAGCTCCCTTAATCGCATCCTCGTCAATAAAACCGGCGGAGGACATCTTGTTCATGGCCCGGTACAGCGACGGCCACGCCAACGCTGGGTGGCGGATAACGAATGCCATCTGCCAAGAGCGCAGGTACTCATCCGGCAGGACAGTCTCGTTCTTCGAAGAGAAGGTCTGCCTGGATCCGTAGCTCTCGGGCATTTTAATAGCGAAATCATTAAAGTGTTTCGTGCTCGTGGTGCCGCGCATCATTTTCTCGAAGGAGGCTGGATTGAAGACCCAGAAGGCGTGTTCTTTGGCAAACATCATCTTGTTTTCATCCTGCGCTCGTTTCGAGTATTCTTCCAAACTGTCCACGGCCTCCTGGAAGGCGGCCTGCACTTTTTTCGTCTCGTCATCAGCCCACTGATCGAGCGGCTTCTTCTTATTGACGCTGAGAAGGAAAGCATCATAGAAGAAGTAGCCGCCCTTTTCGGTAGTGAGAACATTTGAACGGTTGTGAATATTCAAAACCTTCACCAGTAAATTTGAGGCGGTGCGTGGAACACTGATGAGAAGAAGTCGGCGGGGAGGTTTTGTGGCGGAGCCATTGGTAGAGGCGTTGTTGGCAGCGGTCATTGTGGCGGAGAGTAGTAAATAAGCTTAAAGTGATCTTGGGCAATGAGGGTGCGAGGCGATGGCTAATTTCAAGGTCAAATGGCGTGATATACGATCTTAAATATTCCGGCCCATGTCCACAAATCAACAAATCATTTTGACGGTGCCTAAACGGCGCGCTACTCAAACGTCGGCGCTCGGCGTCGGTGTTTCTCGTTGCAGAACAGGACCGAAAGTGGGGAGCCCATGCTCAGCAGTTTGGCCCATTATTGGGCTCACACTGATTGATCGACACTAGAAATAGTCGTTCAGGGAATACACAGAGTCAGGTGTTTCGGGGATCGGGCGTTAGTGTCTCCGAGTGGTCTCCGCGGGCGCAGACGTGTCTTGTTGGGAGACAAGAGTTCCCCGATGTTACATCCATTGAGAGCCTTTCAGGTAATGTTTAAGTAGGCATCTCTTTGAGTAAGCGGATTCGGGTGAATACTGTCATTTGCGCCGTCGGTCACACCGTTCGTTCACTACAGACTTGCGGAGGATATCAAGCACTCCTTTCCCGTGCAACATGTGCAGGTTTTCTGTGCTTATGGTCGTCCAAAGACTAGGCAACCTTCTTGGCAATTGTCTTCCTTTCCCACGCAACTAGGCTTGAGAAAGCCATCAATCAGAATGTGGTCGCAGGCAAGAAAGAATATGGACATGGACAATTTGCCCCGCAGCTGTCCAGCCATGACGTTGTTCTACTTGGCTAATCAGCAACACTTGGATCCTACTGCAAGAGACATCGTGGCTGCCGTCCTCGAGGCCATAAACTCAGAGTTCAGCGCGTTTAAGAGGCACAAAAGGCACGAGTACTGGCAAAATTTCGCTAGATCAAAGGCGATTTCATCCGATCATGACCTTGAGCACTTATGAACTTCATACAACATGAAGAGGAAGCGTGACTGATCTGTAAAGTGTCAGCTATTTAGGAAGGAACAGCGATAAAAACCTAAGCACGAATAAAGAGAAATCACTCTCATATTTAGAGAGCACATACATATGCACCATGGATTAACGAGTATTACTACCAAGCTTAAAAGGGACTACATGGTTGTGCATACTGAACGAGTCCAGAGCTCGTGAAAGTGAGTCCCCCCGTCGAGACTTTGCGACACCTTGGTGCGTGTAGAGAGCCTATGTAACTACTGTCATCTGCTTAGAGGGAATCCACACCACCACGGTGTTGCTAAAAAGCCCAAAAGGAACGTAAAAATTAGAGAGCAGTTGCAGGCCTCCTACAGAATCATGACAGAAGAATGTGTCGTACATTTGAAAGATTCATTATTTGACCCCTTCGTCGACTACTGAGGCATTCTCAAAAAGGCAACCTTGAAATATGTCGGAACTATGGTTCGGGCAGGTAGTTACCTCTATTGCATACCATACATGTGATGAGGTGCATCGGATCATGACCAGGTTCCGAACAATATGTTGAATCAAGCTTTAAACACAAGTTACCTAGTGGCTGGCTAATTTTGAAAGACCTACTACGTTGGTGGCGCTTGTTGCAGAATTACGAGGAACAACAGTAGGGGTACTGTCTAGATGGTATTATGCATTTGCTCCTGGCCGTAGAACCGTGATTGTGCTATCATTTTGTGAGTGTGTGCTGCCAGCAAATACTATGTCGCGTGACCTCAGCCATAGCCGATCTGCGACGGCCACTGCGTATTTGTATCTTAGCGAAGAATAGCGACCAATGGGGGCTTCTAGTGTCAGCAAGCACAAGCAAATCTTTACCGAATGGCCTGCCGTAGCAAGGACGATCCCCGATAAACTCGAGATCCTCAACGGTCGACATATATGCATGCAGGGAAGTAGCCGCACCCCTGATCCCTCCTGTTGATCAGCTCACTGATTCTTTAGGCAAGTCCAAGCATGTACGGGGAGGCCGAAAATGCAACCTGACCAATCCCCGACCGGATGCACGGTCCTGTCCGCCAAGCAGAAACCCAAACTGAAAAGCAACGCCGCTCAGCTCAGCCGAGTCTGTCCGCTCTCTCCCACTTGACTTTTTTCAAGTGGCTCCAGCCAATGGCCCAATAAAAACCCACCAAAGAAGCAGTCCTGCCAATCACCGCGCCTCACCACGCGATCCAAAGGTTCCAAGCTTTCCGCCCCACTGGACATGTGCGACAAGCGGCCCAGGGGTGGGCCATGACGACATTTTCCCCACTGGTGGCTTTGCTCATCCAATGAAGAGCCAGCTGCAAATGAGAAATGCCCCTAAGCCAAACTCAGTAAAGCCATTTTGTGTCGGAGGAAGCCTGTGCCACGCATCCGAGTGGACTAGAACCCCTATCAGTGGCCCTACGCGGTGCCCACTGCAACAAGGCGAACAGGAAGAAAAAGTTTTTTAAAGAAGCGCGGCGGCAGCCTCACTCGTATTTATCGTTCGTGGGGCGGCTTTTTCTTTTTCCCTTGTTCCCCTTCTTCACTCTCATTGCTTTCTTTTTAATCCCTCGTGCCACGACCTGCCTTATCCGACCATCGATCTAACTCCCATCTACAACCATGGCGGAGATATCTCCCGCACCGCCCGCTTACGAGGAAAACATCTTGCGCAAACGACATGGAACGCGCCAACTCGAAATCATTGGACCCGATGGCCAGCATCGCAAGGTGGATGCGGCCGACCTCAACGAGGCCGACGCCGAGTTGGCGACCAAGTTTGGTTACAACCCAGTGTTTAAGAGAGAATTCGGATACCTGTCGACCTTCTCGTTCGCGGTTTCTATCAGTGGTCTGTTCTCGACGATCATGACCACCATGTCGTACCCTCTAGAAGCCGGCGGTTCTAGCTCGGTCGTCTGGTCCTGGTTTATCTCTGGTGCTGGCTGCATGTGCATTGCTGTGAGTCGTAGTTGGAGAGATATTAAAAACACAAGACTTATACAACGAATAGTGCTCTGTCGCTGAATTGGTTTCCGCGTACCCGACCTCGGGAGGATTGTGAGT